TCTATGCGTGTGTAAGTGTGATGTGCACTTCTAAGTGACAACCTATTTGCTATTCAAAGTAAATGTTCTTATACAACCTAACAGAAGTGGAAAGGTGTAGGTCAACAGGAATCTTTCCATCAACTTCAGTGACTTCACTTGATGTCACTTTTCATAACCGTGCCTGAGTTTGACTTGAGTTCTTCAGGCCAACGCAGGCCATAGACGTTTCCTTAGTAACAGCTTTTTGACTTCCACAGATTTAAACTTAAGCGGAGGTGGTAGGTCTCTTTGGCTAATATAGTCTTCTTGTAGATCAAACTAAATTAAAGGCCAGCTCAACCGGAGAATCCAAGTGAAAAACAAGAATTAGAAACAGCAAACACTAAGAAATAGTTCTGCTGTCAGGGGATCATCTCAGCCTGCTGCGATGACAACTTTATAAAGGGGTGCTGGGTTAGGGAACCAGAGCATCAGTGACAGGGCAGAGCAGGTAGAGGGGATATGCTACAGTATCTGCCGGATATTTTAGGAGACTGGCCTTAAATCAGCTTAAGCCAGGTCCAGGCTTTACGCCTAGAGGAGCGTCATTTTGCCTCTGAACCCGTTTCTTTCAGGGTAGCCTATTAATGCCTGCCAAACATCAGCTCAAATGCAGGCCCATCTGTAGGAGCTGCTAACTACTGGGAGGCTAGTTTTGAGAATGAAGTCGATATAGCAAGGAGAGATGCATTTGAACTCAGTATAGGGGCAGTGTTTGGAAAGGACAAAGAGCAGCAAGCTGTCGACTTTCTATAAACTTTAGTCTTTGTTTTTTACACCAAATCACTGATTTTCAAAAGCATGACCACATCTGGCTTATCCACTGCTGTTTACCCGTTCCCTTCTCCTACCTTTATCTAAGTGGAGTTTCAGGAAGACAGATGATTTTTAGTGTCTATGCACATGCTTCATCCATCTCTGTACACATAAACTGTAACTATACTGATATACTGCTACTTAGGCATACAGGACCCAAACTGGATCTTAGTTACATGGATAAAAATCTAAAGTTACTTCCCTGGCTTCACTGGAGTTATGCTGAAATGATACGTGTGCCTACGGCTCACAGTGTCAGCACACCCCACTGACTGAATTATTCCAGTACTACAATACAATTCTAGTGCTAAAGAAATCATAAGACAGCATAGATCTTACTCTTGATACATTTTTAATTTTTCCTGTATCTTTTACAAATGGCAAACAAATAACTGCTCAGGCATTTGCTTGTCTGGTTTCTTTTGTTTTGAAACTTCTGTACTGACTTATTTTGAGCAAAGGAAAGATAAATCTCTATTGAAAAGCTCGATCTCTTTTAATTTGAAGCCCAAACTCATTAGCTGAGAGCTTATTTCAAGTTCCAGCTCATACAACTTCAAGTCATACTTGCTCATAAAATTTGACAGGAGAGATTGCTCCGTCTGACTTTCTAAGTACCGTAGTAAGACAATTTAATACCATGGGGTTCATCTAGCCATGTGGACAGTTAGTTCTTGATTCCCAAATGTTCATGTGATTTTACAGTTTGTATTTACTGTATTTTAAACCCACATGGAACCAATTTGATCCTAAATTCTAGCTTTCCGCCTAATGCCAGTTACATTAAAGGTTTGACCTTGAATTCCTGCACCTTGTCCCGAGTTCATAGATATCATCACGAAGATTCAAAACATGAAGAATTGACCACAAATATTAGGAAGCTGCTTCACCAGCTATTTAGTTTTCGTATTGAAAATGTGCAATTTACTTCCTGTTTGAACTTTAATAACCTCAACTTCCATCCATGTAACTGTGGCTTTGCAAGATTTTTTAAAGAGCCCTCCTTATCAGATTGCCTTCTATGTAGGGGGATTGGAAGAGGCAGCAGATTTCTATTTCATTTTGTTCTGTATGTCATGCTTTGGTTGTTGAGGTGATTAAAGCTTCTGTATTTCAGTCTTATTTGAGTTTGTTACCTGGCAAAGTTTGGTTTCAAAATTGTATCCTTTCTCTTTGACATACAGTCTCAACGTTTGCTCATTAGTTTTCAAATGAAAAAAAAAAAAAAACAGCGTAAATTGTTTACCAAATAGATATTAGATCATAAACTCCAGAGGATTTTTCTTACCTGAGCTGAGCATATTCACTTCCAACCCTTCAAAATCCAGTCAGTGTACCCTGCCTAACAAACTGATGGAGAACAGGGTAGCCAGCACTGGTTACACCAAAAAAGGTAGCAGGAATCAAATGAGTATCCCTTTTCACTCTGCAAAGCACCTGGCTGTCCTAATGCAACCAGCAGACCATTATAATACCAAGTATTTTACTGAGTTAAGTGTTAGACACTGGAAGAGAAGTTCTCTTGGGTATTACATGCCCTTCCACTCCCCAGTTTTTTGTATTATAAAGAGTATGATCCTGGTAGCAGTAAGCAGAATGTGTCCACCACAGTGCAACCATTGCTAGACCTAGGGACATTGCATTCTCTGAGTCCAGATGGGGCTTATGCGGGGGGCAGAAGACAGCTGCTCAGAATGGGAATGCCCATGTGCAAAACACCAGGTTCCTTTAGAAGTCAGCAGGATCATGATGAAGGAGTTTAGGCAGCTCCAAGTTTAGGTAATAGCCATGGAATCTGAATTAGGCCGTGGTTTTCAGCACCACTGAACCTTGCAAGTCCTGCTGTCCTGCTACAGATATCTTTTATCGGATCTGTTTGTTAAGATGGGACCAAGTGTTCATCCCACACAGACTGCTAACATCTCCATGCAACATAAAAGCAATATATTATCCCGAATTAAAAACAATCACATAAGTAATTGGCTGTGGATAATTTCATGCACTGGCTCACCTTAACTGAACAGAGATAATCCTGTGGGTAGGGTTATGCTACTCTTTTATATTTTTACTGTATTATACTTGTTATTATATAAGCACAGACTCAAGCGCAGCCCAAGAAAAGCAAGCACAAAAGCAAAGAGACCAGGACAGTCCCTGCTTTGAAGAACGTGTGATCCAAACCCCTGACACCAAAAAAGGCTCCCCCAGAAGAGATGCATACTGCTGTCTGTTGTCTTTATACTATTATAGCCCAGCTCATGGTGTTACAAACAGAAAGAGGCCCTGGACGGTGGAGGGGAAGACTGGCAGGAAGAAACAGATTGAGAAGAGAGAAGGTACATTCCAGCACGGTAAGACAGAGGCTCTTCTCAGGATCATGCAGAAAACTTATCACAGACTAGGGCTATGCCAAACTAGGTTTTTCTACCCTCCCCTAGGCAGGTTTAATAAAAATTTTAAAAAAAATTTTTTTAAGCATTAAATTGGCCCGGACTTCAGTTTTACTGTAATTTCTCAGATTTTTCATTCCAGCTGAAGGTAACGTTAGTCACAGGGCTGCCTGCTCAGGAGATCTGAAGACGTGCCCCTCAGCCTCGTCGCAGCAGGAAGGAGAAGGGTGGGAAGGAGGAACGCCTGCAGCTCCCCTCCTCTGCCAGGAAGGAGCACAGCGAAAGCACCACACTCCCCCTGCACCGCAGCTACCGCTGGCGAATGTCATCACAGCATCCCAGCCTCTCATATCTTCTGGAGAAACTCCCAGCAAAACTGAGTCAAAGCCAATGGTGTGTTTTAGCCATAAGAAAGTCCACGCCGTGGAAGCGTTACACTTAATCACTTCAGTGCTTTTCCACGTTATCTCAATTTTCTGCTTTCGGAATTAAAGCTAAGCACCCGCCAGAGTTTTACCCCCGCTCCCTTTAGAGACCAGCATCCGCCCTGTGAAGCTTCGCTTTCCCCGACCCATTTCCAGCTGGCCTGTCACTGAGACAGATACAGGGCAACACAGCGAGTTTCTAAGCCCTCATGGCAGTTTAGGCTCACATCCACCCCACCACGAGGGCGTTTTAACCAGGTGGCAGAGCAGCAGCAGCGGTCCAGACGAACACACGTCCTGAGCTGGTGTTTAAATACATGCTACACCTCTCCCAAGAGGAGTCGAGGAGCCGCGCC